TAAAATCAAAAATAATATTTAATTGCTTCCTTATCAATTTCGTCTAAGAAAAATGATCAAAATTTTCGAGGGAAAATCAATCAATCAACAGCATAGATAATATGTATAAAGAATGTTATGTCTGAAGTAATTCAATCTTCTATATATAAATCTTGAATTATTCCTTATCTTTATTAGTTCTTTTATATAAAAGATTGACGATATTTTCAAGAATCGTTAAAAGCTTTATGTCATCTCATCTTTGATATCTTATTCAAACAAATATTTAACATCTATATCTTTATATTAAACATTTTTCTCTCAATAAACATTTGAAGGAATGCGATCAAATGCGAAGATTTCATTAATTTGATTAGCAAATATTTAATAATCAATATAAATAAATAAAAATCTTTTCAGAAGTAATGATGAATCAATCAAGAGAATGAGCAATTATCTGATATCCTGTCAAAATATCGATGATATAATCGTGCGTTCGTGAAGAATGAAACACACAGAAATCTCACACTCAGTTAAATTTACCGTTATCGATAATGAAATTTCAACGAATAGATGAATACGTCGCGGCTAAAAATAATCCGATATATTTATTATACCTGGCATTTCCTAGCATTTCCGCGCTGCGAAATGTACTCGCACATGCGATTTAATCGTGCCTGATAACGCAGCCCGATAAACGGATATTATCAGCGCTATTGTCAGCATTCACGCAATAGTACTCAAGCGAATGTATAAATAATATACAAAACAATATAAACAAAAATATTCATAGCAAATGTAGAATAAATAATTAAATAGATCGGCATTAATTGAAAATAATTGAATACGTATTATTATATAAATAATTTAATACGTATTATAATTAAAATGTGGAAATAATGAAAGATATATTGATATGAAATTACAAAAGAAAAAAATATTCATATTAGATCTTTTTTATGAACAATACGATTTCTCTTTCGATTTCGATCATGCAGCATTCCGATTATATAAGAAAGGCACATAAGAGCTAGGCTTATCACGCAATAAACGTATCTAAGAAAGTAAAAGGTGGAAGGTCGTGAAAAGCCAACAGATTGTTCCAAGAAGAACGGAAATGGAAATCGGGGTGATTCCGAGGCAAGATTCGTTTTACCAAGAACTAGATGTCAACTTATTCGAGAAACTCCTTGCGAGACGTTTATTCGCGTCGCGACGACGCCGTCCAAATGACGCTTCGAGGAACGTGCGTGTTAAGTGCGTTGTAAAATGCACGTTACGAAATGTACGAAAATATTTTTCGAGTCCCGACGAGATCTGTAACGCGGATATTTTTACGTCTTTCCTCCCTCAAGTATTTCTGTACTTTCTGAAAAGAAGTATATTTACATAACGTCTTGAAAAGATGTAAAAAGACTGTAAAAGACTTAAACGCAAAAATTTTAAATAAAATTTTTGGAAATGTCATTCCATTTAATTTTTAACGTGACATTGCACATCAAAGATACTCTTATGATGATGAAAGATACTCTTATTAACCGAGATGTCGCTGGCCTAAATTTAACGCTAAATTTTTTATAGTCATTAGAGATAAAAAGAATATGAGTAATAATTATACCATGTAACAGGTATATTATTGGAGGTTATTCATAATTTAATAATATTTAAAGAAAATTAAAAATAAAATTTATCAATATAAAGCACAGTTTGTGGTAATAGTCTTTCAATTCTTCAAAATATAGAATCTTCGCATTTTGAATAGATGCATATTTTTTTTACACATATTTGTCATAGTAGAGGATTCATCAATCAAATCACGACAATGAATCTATGAGTCATCTCTTTCCTTAATTTATTCAACGAGATACATCCAGGATCTATTCGTGCATTGATTTACAAGACTTACTGTTAATAAAAATAACGATATTATATAACGAAATTATAAACATCAACGAGATTCCACAAAGATTCTAACAATCTTTTCGTCTCTAATCATGATTTACGTTTCATTAAAACGTAATACATTCGGACAAAACTGGAAAGTTTACTCATTCATTTCGTTCGAATCTTCTCGTCTTCTTTTCCTCCTTCCAAAGACGTCCTACTTCCGCTTAATTCGAGATGCAACGGCAAAAACGCGACTATCAGGTATCGATCCTGAGCGATCGATTCGCGAACGCGCGAAGCCGGCAGTCATCACAACAATCAACAACAGCGATTAGTCATCGCGCGCGGAAAGGACCTGACCCAGTCTTGATGCCCGCGCGCGAGTTCACGTGCACGCGTGCACGCGTGCACGCGTGCGGCTCGCGGCTGCCGGGGGATCGAACTCTCCCGGAGAGGTCGATACATCGTCGGGCGTGTGTGACATCGTTCGTCGTTTTAGCACGATGATGTCACTCACACACACACACACACACACACAACACACGTCTCTCTCGCGCTCGTCGTAACGAGTCGTGACGTGGCGCCGATCACCCGGAAGATATTACGAGGCACGCGAATCTCGCGTTTGTGACTTACGGTGACGCGTGCGCGACAACGTGACGTTGCGATTAAGTAAGTAAGTCGTAAGTTGTCCGACTGGCAACGGGAGGGAAATTGAAAGATTACGAAAATCAGGGTGAAAAATAAGAGAAATTTATAACGGAGCTTGACAGTTGTCTTTTGAGGAAAAAATTGACGAGTAATAATGTTGTAGCAAATAAAAGTATCGTGTAGAAAAAGCGCGAGATACAATTTCTGTACATGTTTCTGACTTACTTACAGATTTCAGAAAAGCACCTCTGCCCTTATACACGGCGCCGTGCGATCTACTTCCATGCTTGTGCAGCATATTCAATTCTTTGTCGACGCTCATTCATGAAATCAACGACACTCTCGCAATACCGTCAACAGGATGGATTCAAATGTCCGAGAAAATTCGCGGTGTATTTTTAAAATCCTCGTGCAAACACTTACAATTGTTGGCGTTTCACTTTCGTAGAGCTTAAATAAATTTATATAAATATATTTAGAAATCTTGTTCATTATCAGAATTCATTTTATCGTATCTAATTCTGTCTCTCCCTCTCATAATTAGTGGCAAAATGACATCAAAACATGACATCAAAACAAAATGAAGTAAAAATAAAAAAAAATGAAGAAAAGTAACATAAAATAAAACAGAATAAAAGACAGACCAAAGTAAAATAAGACAATTTAAAATAAATTATTGAATCAGTATTATTAAAAAGACAAAATGTAATAAAATATGAGATTAATATAGTAACTTAAATAAAAATCTATTACGTAAATCTATTCCAAATATAAAATAAAATGATACCCAATGACTGTCTCAATTCTGTCTTAATTTTGACGTTGAGTAATAGAGTATATAATTAATCGACAGTTCGTCTCGCTCTATAAATATCAGATGGCATTGACGCAAAGAAACGGGGTCAGGCAAGTTTCCCACGACGCATAAGATCAACATATAGGATGAGCTTTCACGATTATATCTTTGTACGCTGTAATTTCTTGATATGAGTGAACAGTGATAAAGTGTTTCATAGATCGCGTTATCGATCTAGCCTGGTTCAAGCATCCGTAATTTCTCGGAAGTTCAAATTGGACGAGATTCAAGATCGCGGGAATTTGCTCGATTAAACTCTCGAAATAATGTCGGCGTCGTTTTATCAAAGCAGGAGAAAAGATCGCGTGTAATCACCGATAAGGATGTTATCGCGAGCGAGTTTGAGCGTTTCAGTCAAATACGTAATGTATGAATAATTCTAGAGGAACAACATCCAAGAACGAAAATATTACTCCGGACTACAAAATGGAAAAATAGCAAAAGAAAAGACGTTTACTTAGTTATTAAAAAAAAAAAAAAAAAACAACAACACGGAAAAAAATAATTTTGGAAAAACGATTTTAGTAAAATATTTCAAAATTTGGTCCAATACAGATCTGAAAATAATTTTGTTGGGCTCTAAGATAATTATGTATTAACTATGATAATTAAGACGTTTAAGCATAACGTATAATCCTGCAAAATTATATATTTTAGCAACTAGTTTGATCCTCTTGTTTAATTATATTGATAAGCCCAACAAAATTATTTCCAAATCTGGCCAAATTTTTAGACACCTCGACAAAATTATTTTGTATATGTAAAAACTGATTATTTATCGAAATATTCTCTCTATATTTGAAACAAAATGAAAAATTGAAAATAATTCGCGAAAGCCAAGATAATTTCAGAATTATCAACGTTATTAATCGAAGAGTTAGATATTTAAATTTTGGAGTAACAGTAATTCATCGTGACAGCTGTTTAAATATCTCTGCTTATTTATACGAATAAAGAATTCTCGCAACGTGAATAAATGTGGGCAACAGACGTTTTCTCAAGTACTTCGAAGAAACTAATCTATAATTGTCGCAAGCAAATGACGATTCCCGATCGAAAATTCGATGAATGTATTAGCAATTTTGCCCAATTGCATTAAATATAAATATAATATATTATTTTAAATTAATATACATTTTTTTCGAGGAACTTTACAAATTCTTATATTGTCCGATAAATAAATAATTAATTTTTTACAATCGATGTTGTCCACTCTAATGACGAATATAAACATAGCAGAAATTGGTAATATTCTTGTTTTTTGAAATACAAATGGAAATAAATTAATTGTTATGAATTGTTTTCTATTAATCACATCATCTTTTTACTTCATTAACAAAATAGTATTTATTTCGATTCACTTCATAACTTTCGCAATCTAAATCTGTAAAAGTTATGCTTGCGATCTCGTGTTGCAATAAATGTTATAAAATTTTGAACACTGTAGTTAATTTAAAAAAATGGACATAATTTAATCGAAGAGAATGTAGAAATATAATTCTGTTTTATTTCCGCAAGGAAGTCACGTAGTAACCGATGCTAGAAACGACGACCAGCATACTTGAAGACTTGTGAACGCATCGAAGACACGTTTTTCTCTCTGTCTTGCAATTCTTGTTTGTTTTTCTTTTTGCGCGGACTGACGACGGATGAGGATTTTCATGCAATTATCGCGACACGCGAGGCCACGTTTCTAAAGGACTGTCGACTGCAAAGTAAATTCCACTCTTTAAATTTTACAACGTAGATATTGCCAATATTAGCTGACATTGAGACTAATCGTCGAGTCAATATCTTGATAAACCATAACTGTCACTTTTACGTACTTCCTTATCTTATGAATATATATAATATTTGATCATTATTAATTTATTATTCATCAGTTGCTACGTTGTTATTCCATTATTATTCACATTATTTCTTAAGCAAATAATTAAATTATGAAAACAATAAATAACAGAGAGGGAGAGAGAAACTGTGACTGGCAAATGGAAATGGCAAAAACGTGTCGTTTAAACACCTCTGATAAAAAATCCAGAAAGAGATCTCGTAACGTTGTTCACCGAACGGAACTCGCGGATGCACTGTCGATTCGCCGGTGCGATCTCTTGATATCGTATCATCGATCCGATGATTCACGCATCCACTGTTAACGGAGTCGGCGCGTCTACTGACGATGACGATTTTATGATGACGAGGAAGCCGCCGTCGCAACGGCAATAGTGGTGGTCAGGAATCAGCTGGCTGCACGAGGAAGAGAAGGAGAAGACTGAGGTAATCGCAAAGAGAGAGCGAAGTGTCACCTGAGGTAAGGAAGTGGAATGGAAGTGGAATTCCAGAAAAAGACATCCAAGATACCTTTTATTCGCAATAAAATAGCAGAAACAAAGTTGAAAAAGAAAATAATAAAGATTTGAGAGCAAGCCCGCTTTTTAATATTTTAAGAAAAATATACTCACGTTAAAGTAACCATACAACTTTTTTTTTAATAAACTCTTCTCTCAATGTAATTTCTTTCCTATTTTATTCCAAAATTATATAAAGTATGTAAAGAAAAGAAAGTATGTAAAATTATGTAAAGAAGAAAATGTAACATTATTATTATTTTCTTTTTATTAGTTACTCCCAATTACTGATGAGTAACTATAGCTTTGATAACTATAGCTTAACTGATGACATAACCGTGATGATATTATTGCTCTGGGTCACTATTGCAGGCAATCTGTTAATTGTATTTGCATTTTAGATGGACCGTGAATTTGTCTGAACCCGCCACTTGACGGAGGGATCCTCGTAATAGCGGCGCACGTAATAAACACTGTCTTCCGAGAATTATACGTACGTGTGCAATGATTCATCGTGCATGTGATTGAGAGGGGCGAATAGAATGACGATATTCTCGAGAGAGGTATTCGGTGTGTAAATACGAGCAAACGTACGACCGTATCGCCAAAGTCTCCCAAATGCCTTTCACACTCATGGTTTCTGATAAAAGATCCTCCGGAAGTGAGACTTACATTCATTTATCAAGCAAAAGGAAAGATGTCTAAATACAACAAATATCGATTCGATAACTCATCTTTTTTAAATAATCTATCGCATATATGTTTTATCATATTCATTATGTAATATTTTTATCATATAAAATTTATATTAATTTTATTTTTTATATTATTATTTTATATTATTATTAATTTATTATTTTGATATAAAATTTACGTGTAATTGATTTTACGAAAAATTATTGAAACATTATCGAAAATTATTGAAATTTTCTAATCAAGAAAGCAACATTTTTTTTGAGTTGACTTTTCTATATTTATTTCCTTAATAATTCATATCTTTATATAATTTTTTATATATAAGTTTTTTCTCACAGTTTATAAATATAAATATAGTTTCTGTAAATTCTTTGTTCTTACTATTTTTATTCTTCATTTATAGTTCCGACATAAATTTTTATTATTTTTTTTTTTAGTTTCGTGTGTCCTTTTTCTATATAAATTTTAACTCATAATTTTGCATCTAGAATTTATAAATGCGGTTTTCGCGCGATTCCCGATATGGTACTGCCAAGCGCTAGACGTAAATAGCACTTTATTAATCACGCCTTCGTTATTCTCGGATACCTGGAATTATCAACTAATTAACATAGAGCACGTTTATGTTGTCAACATAATCAATATCATCCGTCTCGACCCGAGTCGATAGCGGCACCATAATTTCTTACCATATAAAGCGTCATTATCGACGCGCGAGTCGCGCGAGCGTTTCCTCTTATTAATCAGAGTTAGCTACTCGAGCCGGAATTACGAGTTACTGGTCCATTCATTCGACTGATGATGTAACCGTGACCGTACTACTACGTGCCGCTAAATTAAACTGACAAAAGTAGGGTCGTCAGTGCGAGATGCATCATCGATGATGCAATGCTGCTACGACATACGCGTCATCAATCGGTAAATCTGTCGCGACGTTTTACACATTACTAAGCGCCATTTTCAGTACAATTTCTTTGAAATATTTGTTTAAAATATTTTACACAGAATTCACAAGAGAGTATTATTTAAAAAAATGATAAAATGATTGATATAAAAAATTTGATATTTAAAGTAAATATTTATAGAAAATTTATAGAAAAAAATTATTACATATTTTTAATTTATATTAATTTTTTGCTATTTTTGCATGAATATCGTATTAATATTGTTAATATTGTTAATTACTTCAAGTAATATTATCACAGACTTGCAAAATCCGATTAACGATATACTCTACATAGTGTTTCATAATAACAATATAATATTGCTAAAATTAGACGTAAATTTTAAAATACAATATTTTTTTCTTTATCATTCAAATAAATATTCATAGAAATTTAAACGAGAATTCTACACTACTCGGTGACGGCCATTGGCAATTCAGACAAGCCGAAGCCTTGAACTTGGACTCGAGAAGGACGAATAACAAATGTGATACGATCGCCACGACTCGGTCTAGTGACTCATTTTGCGAATAAATGTCACGATCTTGTCAAAGCGCGATCTCTTGGAGTTGTAAATCGCCGCTTATCCAACGAGACTCATAACTGTCTACCAAGAAACAACTTCCCAATACTAACAAAACTATAACGAAGCTCAACGGAAATTAACGAAATTAGGTTTCTCAAAAATAGAATTGACTCATCTATAAATGGAATTCGAACATTAGTCACTTCCGGAAATATTGACTAATCTGCTTTGGATCTTTGATATTTATATCATCGATCAATAAATATTTGTATATGTATATATGTATACATTGATATGTGAACATTGCCAATATCTCTCTGCAACTTGGAAATTAGAAGACCAAATTATGTAAAAAAAAAAAAATAAAGAGTAATTTTATATAAATTTTTTACAAACTGTTTTTCTTATAAATACATTCTGCTACAATTACAAAAACAATTTAAATTGTTTTCGCAGAATAGAGTAAAACTTATCTTAAGTAATTTACCTTTGATCATTTTAATTAAAAATTAGTACATAAACAAATTTTTAGATTTATACCAAACATCTAAAAAATGAGCCAACCATCTCTCAAGAATTACCTTCTATTTGATATTAAACATAGATTGATGTAGAAAGAAAACTAAATTGATTTTCTAAAATTAGCTAAAAAGCTATAATAGTTGGCGAAACATCTCGCACATCTTAGCTCTTCGAATTAATTTAATAATTTGCGTACAGAATCAAATAATGACTAGTAAATATCTCGATGCTAGAAGAGCAACTGGAAGATTCAAGAATTCAAGAAAAAGAGAGAGATAATCAGAGTATAGCTTCTTCGATTAGTCTGAATGTTTCGAATAGTATTCAGTGCATCGAACCTCTCTCTTGCCGATCTGAAGATCGTACAGACAAGCAGGCAGGCCTGTTCTATTAGGATGCCGGACATAACTGAAGCCTCAAAGAACCTAATAATTTTTCTTTTTTCATCGCCGCGCGCGAGGCGTTTACTACCTTGCGAATTTTTATTCCCGATCGGATAATTATTTCGATGCATCGCACCGGCTAAAGTGCTTTCGCGATCGTAAAAATACATACTTTCCCCCCTTTTACCATAAAAACCATAACCATGCTGTTCTTTGCTCCGTGCTGTTATATATAGCATAACAAAAAATAAATACTATATACAATAAATAATTAATATAGAGTATAAATAATTCCTAAATAAGCGCGTATAAATAAGAAATGAAAGGATTATTCTATTTTGAAATTAAACCAAAAAAAAAATCGAAATTTTAAAAAATAGCTTGAAATCTTACAATTGATGTGCAAAAATATTCTTTGGTGAAATATTCTTCGAGTTATAGAGTTTGAAAATCAACTCGTATACTTTTAAATTCTAGATTTAGGCACAGAATGCTATATCTCTGCAAAAAGATTAATATTTTCTAATAAAATTTATAAAATTTACAAGACAAATAATTAAATAAAGACATGTATTAATAAAATGCCAAATTGGAAATGAGTCGCACTTATACTTTTCTCGCAATCCAAAGAAATGCTGCACGTTTTCAGTTTCACTCAAAGTAGATTAATCCCTTAATATAGAATAAAAGTCGCAAATCTGAGAGAAGAACGGAGATAGCAAATAGCTGCGCAGTAGCTAAACGATAAATTAGTTTCAGACGTGTTTGCGAGGTCTCTCACGAAAGTTTAATTTAACCATCGCACGCGTCTGTGTTTTGTGCAGACTTAAAACCGCATCAACTTCCTAGTCATTGCACATTGCTCCTCTAGACTCGCCGCATCTAAATCGAGATGCACTTCAATCGACCGGTGCAATGCGCCTTGCAACTATATTCGAAAGTATATTCGACG